TTAAATATTTTCATTTTTTTGTTTTAATTTTCTCTAAAACGGTATGGAAATTTGGAAAAGTATAAACGAGATTAACTATTATCACAGCTATTATGAAGAATGCATTTTTCTCAATATGTCAATAATAAAAAAAAGACAATTCGGGGACATACTGTATATTATAAAAAATATTACAATCCATAATTAATTATTTTTTTTATCTCTATTATTAAATTATAATTAAAGTAATTTTTGTATAATCAGTTGTTATCTTAATGTTACTAATGTGATTTGTGATTTGTGATTGTGGGATCAAAAGAGCACAATAAAATGTTTATAATATGTACAGGGTGGACCATTTTGGTTGTTTCCATAGGGTATCTAGGAAACCCCGTGAGAAATATTCAAATTTTGATACTGCAGTCTCGGGTTCTATTTTTGAAAAAATCACAATGCCGCAAACGGATCGTGGCTATCTTGATCGGTTTCGAAGCTACAGGGGGATTTTCAAATTTTGTACTTTTTAAAAATGTTCGATAGTTTGTTTATTTCAACAACTAGGCAAAAATGAATTCATTCTAAAGGCACTTTTCTGTGTAGAATGCAGTGACGTAGTCAGACTTTTTTCGAAAAAAATATTTTTTTAGATATTAATTATACTTATGTTTTTTTAAATACAACCCCCTGTATATTTTTAAATTTCCTGATTCAGTTTGCCATGGGTTTCTCGAAAATATATAAGACTATATAAAAAAAATATAAGACTATATAAATAAATTTGCATTTCGATATAAATTTCGTTTTTCAGAAATCCCCAGAGAAAGAAGTCTAAGAGAGTGATATCACGTGACCTAGGTGGCTAGGATTAAACTATTTTCTGACCTTTTAAAAATGGCTGGGTTTGGTTGCTCGCGCTCAAAATATAAATCAGCTGCTATTTGCTTATGTTTCTTAGACTCGATATAACATTCTAACATATATATTTCTCAAAATTTTCAAATTTACTCATTTTTTTATTATATAAAATACACACACATCAATCTGTTGAAATGAAATGTCACGCATCTATTAAAGGTATGTGCAGATCACCATGACAACCGTTTACTTTGTTACTCCGCGCGGCCTACTATACTAACTGGATATTTTAAGAAAAATTTGAAATGTTGAGGTTAATAGTGTAAATAAATATAGAGTGTTATATATTTTTGAGAAGCCCATGCCAAGCCGAATCAGGAAATTTAAAAATATACAAAAATATCTATTTAAAAAAAATAGAAGTATAGTTAATATCTAAATAAATATTTTTTTCGAAAAAAGTCTGACTACGCCACTGCATTCTACACAGAAAAATGCCTTTAGAATGTATAATTCATTTTTGCGTAATTGGCTGAAATAAACAAACTACAAAATTTGAGAATTCCCCTGTAGCTTCGAAACCGATCAAGATAGCCACGATCGGTTTGCGGCATTGTGATTTTTTCAAAAAAAGAACCCGAGACTGCAGTATCAAAATTTGAATATTTCTTACGGTTTCCTAGATACCCTATAGAAACAACCAAAATTGTCCACCCTGTATAGATCCATTTTGTCAATTATTGTTAATAATAATTTATCACATACTAGCTAATTTTTATGAAGTACCTATTAGTACGTTGATAGGCCTCCAGCATCCCTTTTTTATTGTACTATCAATATCGAAAAAAAAAGGCGTCAGCGATGGCTATGAAATGAAGATCGCTGTCATTTTATATGACAGATTCTCCAAATGAATCGTCATTTCCAAGCCAAATGGACACGGTTTTTTGTGGCAACTTGGGCATCCGTTGGGAGGGGGTCAAGATAATTATTTGTCGGTTATTATTATTGTTATCATTTAGATTAATAATATTTGATATTTTTTAAAATATACTAATGTTAATTAAGGTATACAACACACTAAAAAATATAATAAATATACTGGAAATTTTGGTGCAAACTTATATGTGATGTAATGATGATATGTAATTAACTTAATTTTTTAACGCTTTGTATAGTTAGTGATTCAAAACGAAATTGTTTTGACCTTCGGTACTTTTTACTAAACGTTATACAATGTTAGACAAAGTAGATAGATGTTTCCTTATATATACAGGGTGGCCCATCGAAAACGTTCCGCAAGGCATAACGGCCAGGGAAATTTTTTTTTCAGAAAATTCAAAAACACGTCAATTTTGTTTGCGAGGGGGAAAAATGATTGCAAAATCTTCAACCCTCTAAGCGGGGGTGTCATCCCCCAAATTTTTTCAAATGGAAAGGGGGGTCAAGTGGTACCGAATTGAAAAAGGGCTTTCTATTCTCTATATTTTCCGGCTTCGTTTTTGAAAATCGCTGGAGTCATTGAGAAATTATAAAGGATTTAAATTTGAAAAGTTTATTTAAACATTTATCAGAGTAAATGATAAGGGTAAATTCCTTCGACCAATTTGCTGTTTTTTCTTATTATTTCTAGATGTTTACGCATTTTTTCACTTGCCGCAAGGTTGAACGCTCAGGTGCGGTAGTTGCTAGATAGCTGTTCTGTGACTTATGCGTTGAACTTCTTCCCAATATCGTTAAACTTTTTAACAATTATTATGGTGTACTCACTTGCAGAAAAAGTGGAAATAATCAAACTTTATTTTAAAAATAATGAATGTGGCAATCGGGGTTGTTATTTGCCAATATCTGGCAAAGGTTGCGCAGATATTCAATGAACGCCATCCTGACAAACACCTTTATGGCAAAATTGTTCGCGAGTTAGTAGCAAATTTCGCGAAACTGGTTCCGTTATGAATAAAAAGAGGCAGAGGGAAAATCCTGTAGTAAATGAAGCTATGGAGGTATTCGTATTGGGCCAAGATATCATGGATAGTACGCTGAGTACAAGAAAATTGACCAATGAGACGGCGTGAATCGTACAAATGTCTAAAGGATATTAAAAAAACACAAGTTCTACCCATGGTACAAAGAATACAAGGTATGATATTGCGCAGGTTGGTCGCTACGTCACAGGTGATAACAGGCGCTATTGGTCAGCACGCTCCGCGCGCCAGTTCAAATCGTCAAGATATTGTTATAAACCTGTTTTTTTTGTTTATATACCGTCATTGAATTATCGCTAAGCAAGGAACATGTTAAAAGAAAATTACTGTCAATTCTGTGTATAAATGTTATTTTCTTGGTTTGTAAGTAGTAGTAGTAGTAGTAGTAGCAAGTAAGTAATATATATGTAGTAGATAGGTGATGTTATTTATATGTTACGAGATCTATGTTTACTTATTTTGCTGATATTTCGGCTAATTTTACTTCCTAACGTCTGTTGAACCGCTACTGATTAGAACCATTTTAAATTGTTTTGTTACTATAACAACTTTAAATGTAGTTACTTAATTTCTAAAAAAAAAATACATTAAATGAATATTATGTACATGGTCAAGAGTTACATCAGATATGTTTAGTTGTTTTACTGTCGGTTTGCTAATAGTCTGTGTTTATTTATTTTTTATATAAGTTTTAGTAGGTAGTGCAGTTTTTTTTCAGTTTTTTAAAATGATGAATGTGATTTTTCTGAGACTGAGAATTATTTATAGTTATAAGGAGAAAATGTTTAAAACCTCAAACCAGGTAGAAATCTAATAACTATTTTTGTATTAATCATTCATGAGGGATGCAAAAATAATAAGTTGGCGTCCATAGACAGCAATCACAATATTGCAATGTGATCAATTTACTGTAAAGTATATTTAAACTGCAATATATTTTATAGATATATAGATATTTACCACAGTAGTATCACAGATTAGGTATCCTATAAGAAAAAACTCAAAATTTAAGTGAAGATGCAGTCAATAATCACCATATAGGCTAATAAAACTACTTTTTCAAATTTGTTAAGCTTTCGAGAATTTTATTCCCATCATCAGGACAGTTTGACTGAGTCAATTAGCAAAAAAACATCCTTTGCACAAAAAGGCCTCAAAAACTAGCATCGTATGACATTGGACTACAAGGACATTTCCTTTATAAAACATTAAAATACATATCCAACGATATTACTTTTCTTTTAAACACAAACAAAAAGAGTTTTTAAAAATTGTGTGTAACAACTCTGAACTGTGTGACAGTCACTGTTTGATCGAGCTCGAAATAACAATGTAAAAATTAAATTTTTAAAAAATCTTTTTGTTTGTGTTTAAAAGAAAAGTAATATCGTTGGTACGAAGTGTACAAGATAGCTTAGTAGACGTAAAAAAATTCATCGTAACTTTATTAGAATATTTTGAACGGGAAAGCACTAGTAATCATGTAGTAATGGCCCTTTATGTCCTTTAAGTGCTGTTAAGGAGGTGAGTTTTGTTGTCCAACGCGTAAATAATAACTATTTATATATTTATAATTAACTAGCGTGTACCAGCGACTTCGTTCGCCTCGATCATTTGTAATTGTGGTGATAAAGCAAAGCAAGAATTTCCATTAACATACAAACTGGATAAAATTTTCTCACATTTATGTCAGCATAAGAAAAAACGATATGCCGATATTATTATATAACTTGGTAATATTGGAGGGGTAGTTTCTTCTCGTTGGAAGCTTTTTACGTCAAGCGCTTTAAGCAGGATCGTGATTAATCAATGACCAGATTTTTCGAAACACCCTGTATACATTTTTAAAAAATCTTAAAATATGTAAAAAAACAAAATAAAATATACGTGTTTAAGCGTTTTTTCGGAAACTTGACCGTTTTTTAAATAAAAAAATATTGTAATATTTGAGGGGTGGTTTCACACCTCTTGGAACTGGAACACACTTGCACTGTAAATAACTATTATAGCACGTCCATGAATTCCTCACTAACAGATAATTTCGTTTCCCCCCTTACGAGATGTCCAGTAGCCACAGAACAAATCGATATACTGTAGTTAATAATAATTATCCTAGTGCATGTTGCATGTAAATCGTTAAAAAAATCACGAATTATTTTTTAAATTAATTTTCTTTTTCAGGCTTCTCTGGAAGTGAGAGCAGCTGGTCGTAGGGCTGTAAACAGCTTGGCAGGTTCGAACATGTCAGAGAACGTAGTTATTTTACATTTCAACGATGTGTACAACGTTGAATCCAGGCCAGGGTTGGAGCCAGTGGGTGGAGCTGCGAGATTTTGTACAGCCATCAAAAGTTTTCAACATTTGAACCCTCTGATTTTGTTTAGCGGGGATGCGTTCTCGCCCAGCATGCGTAAGTATGTTTATATACAGGGTGTCAACACGCCTATGATTTTTTTTTGCAAAAAAATATTGTTGAAAAATTTATTGTACTAGATATCTCTAAAAATATTTGCACTTATTTAAGACTCACCCTGTATATGCATGTGTATTTATAAGTACACAGTAATTTTAATTTTCTACACAATAAGTGACAAAAAAAATCATTTTGTAAAAACACTTCAAGGTGCCCGGTGGCGTAGAGGTACAGGCTCTCGTCTACCAATCTCAAGGTAGTGGGTTCGACTCCTACACCCATCAGCCGACTATTTTTATTAAAATAAAAATAGTTTGGGTACCTAGGTCGACTCAGCCTTAAATGAGTACTTGGGATTCACAATCCTGAGGTAATAATAGGCGGTTGAAGCGTAGTGCTAGCCACATTACCTTCCTTGTATACCGAACGGCTCTAGCATGGCAGGCTGTACCTTGCTACTCCCAAGGCGTTAAACGCTATATACGGGAGCTATGATTAAAAACACTTCATAGGCGTATTTATAATACCGAACTATAGGTACTATCAGTTAAAATACTTTCACTTATTTTGGAGACACCCTGTATATTGTATGTATTTTATATAACATGATATATTTTATTTTGTTTTGTAGTAAGTACCTTTACCAGGGGAGAACAGATGGTACCAGTATTAAACGAAATAGGAACACATTGTGCTGTATTAGGGAATCATGATTTTGGTAAGCAGCAATATAGCTTAGTTAGTAGCTACAGTTCATACCAAATAAACTTTTAGTCACGTGATTAATCTTGACAGGTACAGCGTTGCCCACTTTTATATATTTTCTTTTAATCAAAATATTTTGGGAAACAAAAATAAATTAATTATAAATATATAAACAGTTATTATTTACATCAACAAAACTCACCTTCTTAACAGCACTTAAGGGAAAAAAAAAGGACCATTACTAGCACGGTCCCGTTCAAAATATTTTAATAAAGTTGCTATGAGTTTTTTACGGCTATTAATCTATCTTGTACCACTTCGCTCTAAAAGAGACTCTATAAAGGACAATGTTCGACTGCTAGTAAACATTTTCACGCTTAAAGTATCACAACACTATTTGTTTAAACCAAAAACTTGTAATATAAAACTAAAGTGTCAAAACGAATGACAATGCCAGGAAAAAAAATAAATTCGGCAACTTGGCATTTTTTACAGCAGAGCTACTTATTATTGTAATTTGTAATATTGTTTGTTAGTTGATCCACAATATAAGGTTGATTAAGAAATATCGAGTGCCATTTTATTTCTTTATAAATATATACACACACCGGAAAAGTCTAGGGATATTACAATTTTATCCAGCCATCGTCAGTAATTTTATTATTTGCATTTCTGATATAATAAAATTAAAATAAACAAATAGTTTACAGGACGTATTGGAAATAAAAATGCGAAATTTACCGAATTTTTCAAATTTACCTTGATTTTTATTGAACTCAAAAAATACACACTTTTTTTTATTCTAAACTGTGAATTAAAAAAAAGATAAAACCAATTTTACTTCATAAAGGCTATGGCCTCCTCTACTGTCATTACAGCCCTACATCGTCTCTCCATGCTCCTGATCAGGTTGTCGATCTCTTCTTGAGATACAGCCTGCCACGCTGCATTCACGGCCCGAACCAGATCCCTACGAGTTTCACGAGGCATACCCATTCTCAAAATTCTTCTTTGGACCGCGTCCCATACGTGCTCGATGGGGTTGAGGTCAGGAGATTGTGCCGGCCAGGGTAAGATTAATTGATGAGCATTGATAAACTCACTTACCACTCTGGCTGTATGAGGCCGTGCATTGTCATGCATGAGAATGAAGTTTCTCCCAAAATCAATGGCATATGGTAACACGACAGGCTCAAGAATTAAATCACGATATGTGATTCCTGTTAGAAACCTTTCAAGAAAAACAAGATCGGTTTTTCGGCCTAACTGAACTCCTCCCCAGACCATAACTGTTCCACCTTGATAAGGGTGCACTTCCTGAACATGATCCAACCGAATAAGATTTCCCGGTTCTCTCCATACCCTAAGCCTTCTCGAATCTGGATGAATTCCAAAGCGTGACTCATCCGTGAAAAGAACATTTGCCCATTGTTCATTCGATCACTGAACATGATCTTGAGCCCACAAATATCGTACCTCTCGATTTCTCTCGTTAAGGGTTGAGCTCTCCAGGGGCGTCTGCTTCTTAAGTTAACCTCTCTTAATCTATTGCCAACAGTGTCAGGACTAACGGTTACATTATGTGTTTCCTGGAGAATTAAACTAAGCTATGGTGCTGTAAGAGTCGGTCGGCGTCGAGCATTTAATTGTAAAAAATGATCTTGCTGAGGGGTAGTAATGCGATGTCGCCCTGTGTGCCTTTCAGCAACATCACCACTTTCACGGTACCGTGTACTTAATCGCGATATTACACTTTGCGTTGTATTTAATGCTCTAGCTACATCGATTTGGCGCATTCCAGCTTCGAGCATACCCATGGCCCTTAGCATTTCGTCTCTGTTAAGATGTCTACGCTCCATAATGTCGTTTAATACTAAACAGAGTTATTTGAATGAATTCTGGCCAGTTATCATAAAAACATAGCCAGTACAGGTTAAATTCGAACAATTGATGCTAGTTGCTTTTTATACATTTGACAAAAAATGCACAAACACTTCTGCAAATATCCCAAATTTAGAAATAACTAGTGTGACTACTTCGTTTCAATCGAAGTAGAAAGAATCGGCCTACAAATATGTGGTTGTTTATTCAAAACATTTATTTTTAACTTTAATAAAATGATATCCCTAGATTTTTCCGGTGTGTGTATTACAGGATTTCATTTGGGCAGTTTGGATGTTTATAAAAACCCAAATTATAAAACAACCTAGGTTTTTGTATCGTTTATCGCGTATCGCGTATAATGTTTGGTTTAGTCAATATAAATCAATATTTAAATTTTTAATATGGAAAAAAATTAGTTTTAGTTGCCGTAGCTTTGTCGTAGCTGAGGGTTTGAGATGCAGCGCGAAATTTGTGTAGGTAATAATTCATAATTTTCTGGTTCTGCATAAATGATGAACTCTTGTTGGTTGATTCTGGAATAGATATTTTCAAATAGACAACGTATGGTGTTTAGTTTGTAAAATCCTGCGGTTAAAAGAAAACAATAAAATTGCTTAATTTTTTTTTAACAGGCAGTTTTTTTGTGCAAAAATTTTAAATATTTTTTTTTCTCAAAAACGGTTAGTGTTAGGTATAGAGTGTCTATAGAGAGAAATAATATCAAAATTTATAAAATTTAAATTTATTTAAAATAAATTTAAAATAAGGAAGTTGTCAACTTCCGGTATTTCCGGAAGTGCCGCCATATTGAAAATATTTTTAATCGATAGATCACGTTGTAAAAAATCTCTGATCTAGATATTGTATTTCTCTCTAGAAACTTAATAAATAATGCTAAAGGCTCATGCACGCACAGCCTGAAACACCCTGTATACCAAATAAATCAATAAATGTCTACATATTTAATATTATATACCAATTCCTTTCACAGACCATGGTCTAGAAGTCCTATCCCAATGGGTAGCCCAAACCGACTTCCCTTGGCTAATGTCAAATGTGGTAGATAACGAAACAGGTCGTCCCCTAGGCGAGGGGCGTATCACACACGTCGTCCACTGGGCGGGGCACCGCATAGGCCTTGTGGGATTGGTCGAGAGGGAGTGGCTCGACACCCTGGCCACTATCAACCCCGAGGAAGTGACGTTTTTGGACTTTGTAGAGGCGGGGCAAAAGCTAGCCGCCCAATTGAAGCACGAGGTAAACTCTTAACTCCTCCCCCTTCAGTGACGGTCATAGACAGTTTCTGAATACATTTTGTCGGTTTTTCGCAATGACTAAAGCACACAAGGACAGGTAACACCCATATACAGGCTGAAGCGTCACCAGCGACAATTTTAGCGATTTTTAATAGCTTGTTGTGTGTAGTGAACTTTGTATAAACTTTATTACAACGGTGATTTGGTCAGATTTCAAGTGTAAAACCCGCAACGATAAGAAAGAGCCAGGAGTTACGTTTCATAGGTAAATAAACAGTACCCTCCACCTTTTACTTACTACGTACTTTATACGTGCTAACGTCGATACTAGTTTTGTACATTTTGTTAACATTTTAATAGTATTTTTTTGTAATTAATTAGTATACCAACTAAATAAGCAGCGTACATAGGCGTAGTCAAAACATTTATCAAAAATATAAATATCTCTTCAAGCAGCTAAGTTAAGAAAAATATGTAGCACGGCACTGTTTAGAGGTATAGTAACAATTAGGTCTCGGGTGTTAGTGGTCCTTATATTCTTTAGTCATTGGATTTTAGTTATTTAATCAATCAATTGGCTCTATTTCAGGGCTGTGATTACGTGATAGCTTTAACGCACATGCGCACACCTAACGACGTCAAACTAGCGGAGAACTGTGACGAAATCGACCTTATCTTGGGTGGACACGATCACGTGTACGAAACGCACTTGATCAATGACAGATACGTTGTCAAAAGTGGCACGGACTTCAGACAGTTCAGCAAGATAACCATCGACTTCGAGAACAAGGCGAAGCATGGAGGTAAACCGGAAGTAACTATCGAAGAAGTGAACGTGACGTCACAGTATCATGAAGATCCGAAGTTGAAAGAGAAGTTGGATAAATATACAGGTGAGAATGTAAAGTAATCGCAAAACAATTTCCGATGCACGTGATCAACTCTGAGTGACAAACAGCGCTGCCAGATTGTGATGGATTTATGAGATGAATCTTAATGTAAAATTGGGAAACAGTATATTTATTATATCATTTTTTAAAGATTTTTACGTTTTATTTTTAATTTAATAATTATTAATATTTTTGTAATTAATTTATTTATTAACAGCAGCTACTCATTACAAATCGAAATAAGTAGAAATAACTTTGAAGTGGTGAAAGTGGTATAATGTGCTTACTAATCAAACTTACTTCTCTGACTGCAGTCAAGGGTAATTAAGGACCTTTATTGTTACGTTCTCGTTCAAAATAGTTTATCAGGAAAACTACAAGCTTTTTGCTTCGTTTGCTTACATGTTTCGGCATATTTTCAACACACAATTTCAAGAAATGCAATACAAAAACTCGAAAATTTAGTTCTTAAAAGAACTGTTTGTGCTTAAAAGTACAATTTTTAAAAATACTAGACTATGAAAATCGGCAAAAAACGAGAATTACTTCAAAAGATTCAACAACACGATTTTATACAAAATAATGACTGACATTATGATAAATGTCAAATAATAAACGACAACGTTGCTGATCGCGGCGCAATGTGACCAACATGACGATAATAAGAGTCACTTTAAACTAATTTTTGTAGCTTTAATCTAAATAAATAATGTCACAATAATTTGCTCTATAAAGTAAAATGAAGAGCTGCTCGGTATCTTAAATTATACAACAAATTTAAACATTTTTGACAAAATTTCATTTAGTCAGGTTTATACGCCTTAGTGTCAATTTCGATATAATATTGATGACGTGCATCGGAAAATGTTTTGCGATTACTGTATGACTTATATGCCTAAAATTCATAAAAAAATATTTTGAACTTTTCAAATATTGACTTCCCATATTCGTATTCTTTTATTATTTTTAATTTTGATCTTTTTCACTGTAGGCGTTATAGAATCCAAACTAGATGACATTTTAGGCTGCTTTCCTGTTCCTCTGGATGGGCGTTTCACTTCAATCCGCTCCTCCGAATCGAATCTCGGCAATTGGGTAAGTCACGCCCCTAGCCACACCCTTTTGTCACGTCTACACAACTCGACACGCCCTCCTAACCAGTAAATGTTTAATTTTTCAGGTTTGTGACGTCATTTTAGCGGCAACAGGCGTGGATTTGGTGATTTTGAATTCTGGAACGTTTAGATCTGATCAAGTTCATCCTGCGGGAGATTTTACAATGAGAGATTTAATCAGTATTATTCCTATGAGGGATCCTTTGGTAGTTTTGAAGGTTTCTGGTAAGTTTTTTTTTATCTGAACATGAATCCTATTAGAATACGTTGTTTGTTTTTAAATGTGAAAAGCTGATTTTTTTCAGGTCAGCAGATTTTAGAGACTCTAGAAAATGGAGTGTCAATGTATCCTAAGTTAGAGGGTAGGTTTCCCCAAGTGGCCGGTGTTAGTTTTGCCTTCAATCCTAGCAAACCGCCTGGGAAACGAATAGAACCAAATTTGATAAGAATTGGGGATGAATACCTCAAATTGGACCAATTTTACAGACTGGCCACGAAGAGTTACATGAACAATGGCTGTGATGGGTACACCATGCTCAAAAACGCCGAAATTTTGGTGAGTTAAATTAGTAGTACATATAGATAATACCAAATAAACTTTTAGTGACGTGATTAAGCTTGACCGGCACAGCGTTACCACTTTTACATATTTTCTTTTAATCAAAATATTTTAGGAAACAAAAATAAATTAATTATAAATATATAAACATTTGCTATTTACATCAACAAAACTCATCTCCTTAGCAGCACTTAAGGGACATAAAGGGCCATTAATACCGTTTTCCCGTTCAAAATATTGTTACGTTTTTCGTCGGTTCCGTGGGGATAGAAAGTCACAATTTATTTAAACACAATTTATTTAACACTAATTAACAAAAACAATAACGATAAAAGACTTAAAGAATTATTTACAAACGATTTATAACTATTTATCTAGAAAGAATTTATTTTGAACTTAGCGCGTCAACGGTACTCGTCTTATTTATGTCTGCCCTCTTTAGGCCCCAGCCGCCGGCTTTTATACCCACAGCTAAAGAGTTCCCGAATAATCCGGAACAGCCGAGATTTGTCCATTCGTCGTTGAACGACGCCAAGCGTATTAGTCAGCTTAGACCGGGTTCACACGGGTCCGCAACAATTCTTAGATGCATGCTCGTCCCGAGATGTATACGGCGAATGAAGGTATTTGCAAAGCTGGCCCCTGGTACATTGAGAAGTCTGGTAGAAATAGCAGTCTACAGTTTTCTCGCCCGATCTCAGCTTTGGGTTGTAGCAGCAAACGAGGATCTCGATTCCCGTAAATCTAAACAAGACTTCAATCATGTTCCGGATTGTACGCCAACTCAAACCATCGAGTCCACACGCCAGCTTCGGAATGGCTAATCATGTAATGCTGTTGTTTAGCAGGGCTTCTCTCAGTTCAATCGGGGTCTTCCATAGATTGAGATAATTTGGCTTACTCGGCGACCATTTCGACCAGGTAGAAAATGTGTCTTGCCTGACCATGTGCATTGTCGGTTAGCCTCAAGACGCTTCCAACCTCTGTTCCAACGTCTTCCAACCTAGATCAAATCTATTTTCCAAGACTCCTTATTTAAAAAATAGTGTTTTTAACGTAGCCATGGCACTCTAGATTGAAATTTAAAATACGACTAGTTTTTAAGCGAAAAATTTCGAAGCGAAAAAAAAACAAAAGCTGACATATGATATGTCATTCTATTCAGACCGTCATTTTCTATCGAATAAAGTAAAAATATACGGGGGGTGACATTTAAAAATCAAAAGTTGTAGTCATTTTCGGTGAAACAGCAAGTCAAAAACAATTTAATACGTCAATCATATTTTTTTATGTCATATACTAACATACCAAATCTCGTTTTGTTATCTGAAGAAATAAAAAAGGCATAGGGGTGAGCCACGTTTTAGACGCATCCGGTATATAAAAAAAATATAAACAGAAAAAAGAAAATTAATAGATAAAATAGAGAAAAATAACAATCTCTAGAAAAACGGGACTCTGGGCTCGTTGACACTTACGGAAATCATTTTTATTTCTACGTATTATTTTTGAACAAAAGCTGTGATATACGATACATATGACATTAAAATATAATTTTTTATACCAAAAACGTAACAGTTAAAGAATTACGCTGCCTTGTAAAATGACAGGACAGGTAGGTGTGACTCTCTGATTTAAAACGGACTTGAAATGCAATCGTTCAACTTTACCATTAATTATTATTTTCATAATAAATTTAAGTTCTCAGTTATGCGGCCAGTAGAGATCGGCCCGATCGCTTATTTGCTAAGTTTTATTTTTTTAGGTCAGGTCGCTTAGCAGATGTCGTAACATTTTGAATGCAATGAAAATGCCAATTTTATTATAATTTTAAACAAATAAAAATATTACGTTTTAAATTGTGACATAGACGTGCTATAGATATGACCTGCTTTAATGTTTAATATCAAAAGTTACTAGATACAATGTTTAAAAAACACGTAAATAAAATAATTTTTTTTACGTAAAAAAACAGATTTTCCCGATATAAGGTTAAGGTACAAAGCTCGGTACAAAGGTATCCATATCCAGTGGCGTAGCGACAAATTATGGGCCCCTCCGCGAAACTTGAGTTAGCCCCCCCCCCGGATACATTAAAATACGCAACCAACCGTCATTGAACCGTCCAATCAGATCAAAGGAGTAATCGTCGTAGATCGTGCGTTATCGATAATGTTCGGTGCCTGGAGAAAATTGACAATTGACAAGAGAATTGTTTATTATTTTTGACTTTTTAGTTCGTTTAATCAGGTTTATACGCCTTAGTGTCAATTTCGATATAATATTGATGACGTGCATCGGAAAATGTTTTGCGATTACTGTATGACTTATATGCCTAAAATTCATAAAAAATATTTTGAACTTTTCAAATATTGACTTCCCATATTCGTATTCTTTTATTATTTTTAATTTTGATCTTTTTTCACTGTAGGCGTTATAGAATCCAAACTAGATGACATTTTAGGCTGCTTTTCCTGTTCCTCTGGATGGGCGTTTCACTTCAATCCGCTCCTCGAATCGAATCTCGGCAATTGGGTAAGTCACGCCCCTAGCCACACCCTTTTGTCACGTCTACACATCTCGACACGCCCTCCTAACCAGTAAATGTTTAATTTTTCAGGTTTGTGACGTCATTTTAGCGGCAACAGGCGTGGATTTGGTGATTTTGAATTCTGGAACGTTTAGATCTGATCAAGTTCATCCTGCGGGAGATTTTACAATGAGAGATTTAATCAGTATTATTCCTATGAGGGATCCTTTGGTAGTTTTGAAGGTTTCTGGTAAGTTTTTTTTTTATCTGAATATGAATCCTATTAGAATACTTTGTTTGTTTTTAAATGTGAAAAGCTGATTTTTTTCAGGTCAGCAGATTTTAGAGACTCTAGAAAATGGAGTGTCAATGTATCCTAAGTTAGAGGTAGGTTTCCCCAAGTGGCCGGTGTTAGTTTTGCCTTCAATCCTAGCAAACCGCCTGGGAAACGAATAGAACCAAATTTGATAAGAATTGGGGATGAATACCTCAAATTGGACCAATTTTACAGACTAGCCACGAAGAGTTACATGAACAATGGCTGTGATGGGTACACCATGCTCAAAAACGCCGAAATTTTGGTGAGTTAAATTAGTAGTACATATAGATAATACCAAATAAACTTTTAGTGACGTGATTAAGCTTGACCGGCACAGCGTTACCACTTTTACATATTTTCTTTTAATCAAAATATTTTAGGAAACAAAAATAAATTAATTATAAATATATAAACATTTGCTATTTACATCAACAAAACTCACCTCCTTAGCAGCACTTAAGGGACATAAAGGGCCATTAATACCGTTTTCCCGTTCAAAATATTGTTACGTTTTTCGTCGGTTCCGTGGGGATAGAAAGTCACAATTTATTTAAACACAATTTATTTAACACTAATTAACAAAAACAATAACGGTAAAAGACTTAAAGAATTATTTACAAACGATTTACAACTATTTATCTAGAAAGAATTTATTTTGAACTTAGCGCATCAACTGTACTCGTCTTATTTATGTCTGCCCTCTTTAGGCCCCAGCCGCCGGCTTTTATACCCACAGCTAAAGAGTTCCCGAATAATCCGGAACAGCCGAGATTTGTCCATTCGTCCTTGAACGACGCCAAGCGTATTAGTCAGCTTAGACCGGGTTCACACGGGTCCGCAACAATTCTTAGATGCATGCTCGTCCCGAGATGTATACGGCGAATGAAGGTATTTGCAAACTGGCCCCTGGTACATTGAGAAGTCTGGTAGAAATAGCAGTCTACAGTTTTCTCGCCCGATCTCAGCTTTGGGTTGTAGCAGCAAACGAGGATCTCGATTCCCGTAAATCTAAACAAGACTTCAATCATGTTCCGGATTGTACGCCAACTCAAACCATCGAGTCCACGCGCCAGCTTCGGAATGGCTAATCGTGTAATGTTGTTGTTTAGCAGGGCTTCTCTCAGTTGCCTGACCATGTGCATTGTCGGTTAGCCCCAAGACGCTTCCAACTTCTGGATCCTGTCGGCGTAGTTCTCCGATACGCCCAAACTTATTGAACGTCGCAGCGATGCCTCTAGAAATTCGCAGATCTCGGGCCACACAGTGAGCGAGCGAATAATCAGAAGGCACGGAAAAGAGATCTCGTTGTTCTTCTTTGGTCACACCATAGCGAGCCTTCTCACTGCTGTTGTATCGGGCCATGAAGTCGTCAAAGGACATCTCCGAATCAGGGGGATCAAAGCTGCAGGCTCTCACGGTCCCAGAACGATCTTCTATTTCGCCTGGGTAGGGGCTCAAACGATTGAAATGGACTATCCTGGGTTTTCCTTTTGGCAATTTTCTAATACGGTATACGACGTCATTAATTCTATCCATAACTTCGTATGGCCCTTCCCACGAGGACTGTAGCTTCGGAGATAACCCACGACGTCTCTGCGGATTATATAGCCACACCAACTTCCCTGGTTGGTACCCTCCATGCTCAGCTTGAATGTCGTAATGTTCCTTCATTCGGTCACTAGCGCTTTGAATATTTAGGCGGACTCGCTGATGGATGTCGTCCATCCTTTGACGTAGTGTGTGGACATAATCTTCTCCGGCGACTTCTTCTCCCGGTCGGCAACCAAACTTCAGATCACAGGGTAGGCGCACTTCCCGTTCCATAACGATACTGGCTGGAGTTTGCCCTGTGGATTCTTGGACGGATGAACGATAGACAAACAGGAACAGGTGAAGAAATTTGTCCCAGTCTCTTTGGTGGTCAGAGACTACTTTGGCCAAATAACGGTTGATGGTTCTGTTCATGCGTTCAATCATTCCATCGGATTGTGGATGCAGAGCAGTCGTCCTGGTCTTGCGGATGTTAAGGACTTCACAGACGCCTTGGAACAGATTGGACCCATAGTTTCTTCCCTGATCTGAATGCAGTTCCATGGGAACACCAAACCTGCAGATACATTCCTTAACAAGGGCATCAGCAATGGTGGACGCTTCTTGATTAGGCAACGCGTAGGCGTCGACCCATTTGCTGAAGTAATCCATTACTACCACAATGTATTTGTTGCCACCGTTCGTCTCTGGGAAAGGACCAGCCACGTCGATCGCTATTCGTGCAAAGGGACTGCCTACATTGTAGTGGCGCATTGGAGCTTTACCGCACCTTTGTGGCCCATTGATGGCGGCGCAAACGTCACATTTCTTACATCAGGCCCTCACGTCTTCTGTGCAGTTCACCCAATAGAACCGTTCACGCAGCTTGCCAAGGGTCTTGGTAACACCAAGATGTCCACCGCTGGTTCCATTGTGAACTTCCGCCAAGACTTCTGGGACCCTCTTCTTTGAAATGACGATCTGCCTTCTCTCTTCTTGTCCCTCTGATCTCTCAATCACACGGCGAAGTAATCCGTTATCTATTACCAATGAATTCCACGGGGACCAGTACGACTTCACGTTCGGCGAATATCTGCAAACTTCCTCCCATGTTGGTCTCTGGTCCGCATTTTTCCAGTTAATCACCAAACCCAACTCTGGATCACTGATTTGGTCATTTGCAAGATCTTCGGTTTGCCAACTATCACCAACCACAGTCGTCCTTCTTTCTCTTCTTTGCAACGATTTCCCATCTGTCCGCAATTCCAACAGCGAATCGGTCACCCCTTCTTGCTCATATACTGATCCAGTACTTTCAGCGCAATTCTATCCACACGGAACCGACGAAAAACGTAACAATATTGTAAAATATAATATTATATAATATATTATAATAAATATATTAAACGTAACTTTTGCAACGGATATTAAGCTATCTTGTACACTTCGCACTAATAAGTGTTAGTCAGCCCGGCGCCGAATATGTCCACGGTTGGTAACAATGAATTTAAAAATCGGGCCCCCGATTACGTAACTAAAAGTTTAATTGGCATCGCTTATAGATAAAGTATTTAACTAACTTATTGGATGTGGTTCCCTGACTAATTGGACAAGCTTGAAGTAAAATTATTTTCAATTTTTTCTAGGTAAACGAAGGGGAAACTCCAGAATTAGGTTTGGCCATCCAGAATCACTTTCAAGCCATTAACATGAGGTTAGGAAAGACTAAAAAACAGTCCAAACATAGACAATCATTAGTTACTCTATCTAGAAGGTGAGTTTGATATAATTATTCTTGAAACACCGCTTTTTCTTATGGACCGATGATCATATAGAACAATTGACGAGTAAAGGTTGATTTTCACTATACCTTGCGTTTTCATTCCATATCCGTTCCGTATTTTTTATTATATTGACGCTATAAGTAAGCTTCCGTTCCTTATCAGTTCCATTATTTTTATTGTACAATATCTATATAGTTTTATCACAGATTAGGTATCCTATAAGTATACAGATAAAAATCTTGTCCCTAATTCGTGGTACGAAAATTGTTTTTTATGACGATGTGCAAACGAGTCAAATTTCCTGTGCGCAAAAATAAACTCGCGTAAAATAACAATAAACAGCGTAATAGAGAGATATCGCTAAACCGAATAGCGTGCATGGACGTTAATAAGGCCAGGTGTTATTTCCTTTACGTGAGGTGATATTAACTCTCTTCATTTATAGTTATCGGATCGGAAAGAATTCTGATCGCGTCGCTTCCGCTATTTAAACTTAACCTAACTTTGAATTTAAAGCTTTGACATTATTTTGTTTACTAGGTATTTTAAAATTAAAGGGCTAAAGTGCTTATTTCCAGTGCTTTATTGTTCAACGTCGGCCAATGGGTTTAGGACAACAAGCAACAAATTCTCTTAGAAGGGCTAAGTCGTCATCTGTTGTAAACCTAAGACTCTTTATAGGTTCTTTAGTATTGGAAGAGGTGGAATCCATATTTTGGGCCATATTTATTTAATTAAAACTAATCCCAGCTACTTAAATATCAAATTACCTAATAAAACTAAAGCAATAATTCAAAACAATTCAAACATAACCTAAAATAAAAGATCCGCCGGCCGGCTCCGGTTGTCAAATACCCGCACATGCCCATATAAGCAATTTTTAAACGTTATCAGAGGTTATTTAGAAAGAGCGCTTGGTGTAATTGATCCGCAAATTACGTCAGGCGGTAACGTTATTAGCGGGTGTTGCGTTGACTCGCGCATATCGTAACCATGATAAGGTACGCGTAAATACTGGATGACGCTATTCGGTTTTCCGATATCTCTCTAATAACTGTGCCGGTCAAGCGCTGTGCACAATTTTAGAGGCCATAAGTGGGCGTGCTGTGTGCGCAAACTAGTCACCTAACTAGTGCCCGATTCCGAAAATTGGAACCACGAAAAACAATAAAGAAAAAACAAAGATTATAATCTGTATAATCTGTGGTTTTATTTTTAAAATTTGTATCTTTTGAAAAAGGTAATAGATTTAATTAAGAGGTGAAAGAATAAATAAATATTAGCAAAATGTTCACAGAGCTGGTAAAAATGTACGAACTTGACAACGCTGTTACCGATACGCTTTAGCCCGTTCGCCAAAAAAAATGTATGGAAGGAAAGGATATGGAACGGAAGGGAAACGGAACGGATAGTGTGCATTGTCCTATTGATTTACCTGATATAATATTTTATGTAAACGGAAGGTAGCTGATACGGAAGGTATAGTGAGAATCAACCTTAAACGCTAAAATTGTTGGTGATGTCTAATAATTAATAATAGACCTTCCAGTAGGTTCTGGAAATTCACTGTGTATATAATCTTATCAAATTTCTATATTTACTCATATCTTAAGATTATGTAAAGTGGTCTGAAATGGAGCCAAAAATACAACAATACACAGGGTGTTCCATTTAAAAAAATCATCCAGATCCACTCACACTTTTTTGAGACACCCTATTGAAGTTAAAATATTTTCCTGAAATACATCCTACATCCTAGTACATACTTTAGGTTTGCACTTATACCAAATAGAGGTGAGAGTTCTAGTTCCTTGGGAGGAACTAGTTCCTTAGGTCTAGTTCCTCCAGAGGAATAGTTCCTTGAACTTAGTTCACAATAGTTCCCGACTAACATTGACATCCCCCTTGCTTGCTAATGCGTTTCGTTGTCAGTCAGAACTATTCACAGTATGATCTGTATAATTTTTATAATGTACGGAGATATAACGAGACGTGTAATTGTGTATGTTAAAAACATATAGGTAAGTTTTATTGCAGATAAAAAAAAATTAAAAAACTCAAATTAGAATTTAAAAACTATATCACAAATCAATTGGTGCAAATATTACAAAATTTTACGAAAAATTGAATTTTACCTCACTTCAAGCTTTTGTTTTTGTCTGAAAATTCAGCATATCTACTTCGTTTTATAAGATATTTCTTAATTTTAGGGACCTAAAGTGAAACATTCCCATAAAATATTTAAAAAACAAACTAAAAATCAAAAACAGTATCCACGTCAATTTTCTGTGGCAATTACCCCGCGCCGGCTGTGGCAATAGACAAGGCCGAATCCATCGTCGTCGCCTTGTATTATATCTCGGATCTGCCGACTGAATAGATTCCCGTGAACTAGTCTTTTAATAGTTCCTCTATGTCCGGATCCGATAACATACGGCTGGCACTCCCCACGCCTGCCTAGCATCAATCGCGCTGGCTGATCCATACGTAAACTAGTCTTTTATTTAGTTCCTCTAGTTCCTTTAGGTCCGGATCCGATAACATACGGCGTACAGCTGGCACTCCCCGGTCCTGCCTAGCATCGATCGCGCTGGCCCGATCCGTACCTACGTAAACTAGTGTTTTATTTAGTTTAGTTCCTCTAGGTCCGGATCCGATAACGTACGGCTGGCACTCCCCAATCCTGCCTACCATCGGGCTACGCGCGCTAGCCGATCCGTCGCATATTATTCTATATCGGTCACAGTCTCGATCCCGGAATAGGTCCTGAGGAACTAGTTCTTTGAGAAACCAGGAACTAGTTCCTTTCATTCCGGGGTCGGAATAGTTCATTGGAACTAGTTCGTTCACGAACTACACACCTCTAATGCCAAATTCCCAAGTTTTTCATTCTAGGAGCTACAGATGCCCGACGCACTATTGCCGGACCCTGTAGATGTCTATAGATATAAATTTAAAACTGAATAATGAATTTAGTGAAGCATGAAATAGTAAATTATATTTTTTTAGTTTAAACTGTAATAAATCTATCATCGGGCAGTTGAAGGTTACTTTTATAAATAATATTTGAGGACTTTCCTAAGTATATCAATTTAATGAAAATGGTAGAAATCGTTCAAAAAATGTTCCATGTTCCGAGATTGTATTGTACAGTGTTGATTAAAGATAAATATAACTAAATATTCTATAAAAAGCATATTTGCCAAGCTATTTTGGTGCCCAAGGAATATAAAAAAATTATTATTGTACTTACTTGATAGGTACTAAATTCCCAATACCAAATATATAAATATGAATATTTTTAAACCAAACTGCACACAGATATCGACATCAATAGTTATTTAGTCCCAGGCACTGACTGTATAGTTCAAAGACTATTTTTACGACTGTTCATTTTTGACGTTCATTTAGATTTTATTTCGTCAGTAATGATTTATTGGTAAATTTTTAATATCTATTATGTATACAGTATGTTTAAGGTATTGAGATACGTATTAGATTTTTTTAAAATCTTTATTGTCAGTTAATATCGATAGTTTACTCGCAACGATTTGCTGTCAAGTGTATACATATTATTTTTAATAGCGGATAGTTACTTCTGAAATACGATTACGTTTCGTATTGTGATAGTTCTAGCAGAGAATTATTAATTTAAAATGGCAGTTACTCGCAAAGAGTGGTCAAAAGACGATACTTTGATAAGTATATACGAGGAAAATACAGTTTTGTGGGATACCATGGGATTACCTATCTGTACTTCTATGTTTCTCACATACCACACATAAACAAATTAAATGAAAAATTACAAAAATACAAACTGAATCAATACATACTAGAACTAACGGAAAGATTTAAAAAATCGACCACAAAAAATTTGCATGGAAAATATTGAAAGTAAAACTACTATGGCGCCATATGAGATACCGCGAGAAGGAAATCTACCACCTCTTCTGTATATCCTTTATACAAACGATCTCTGCGAACTAGCATTAAATGGCGACATATATGGATATGCCGATGATACATATTTAGTATATACAGGAACAGATTTCAACGCATTGCAACGTCAACAAAATAAAATCTGCAAAAGTGCAAACATAAATTACAATAATCTCCTAACCATATAACGAGCTAAAAACAGAATAAGATGATATTTAAAACCACAAAACAAAACTTAAACTTACAAATAAAACTACAAAACCATATTCTACGAGAAACATCAACAATCAACTATTTAGGGTTAAAAATACAAAATAATTTGAAATGGGATGCTCATGTAGTAAAGCTGAAAAATGAAAATATACGCACAATTGCAGCTTTAATAAAAATGAGAAAACCTTCATATCACGCACTGTTTACCTGAAGGATGAACTATTTAATGAATATATGGAGTAATACGACCGAAAAGAATTTCAACGCATTGCAACGTCAACAAAATAAAATTTTAAAATTAATATATAAATTACACAAAAGAACACCAACACACATATTATTTGATACAGTGCAAGAACTAGATATAAAACAATTAATACTTTTTAATAGCTTGCTAAATATTAAATTAAATACAAACAAGGAAGTTCACAAGTACCAAACAAGGAGAAAGTCACATATTAGATGCCAGAAAGTAAGAAATAAGACATTAACACAAAGACTAACAACAAAAACAATTCAAACATTCAATAGTTTAGCAGAGGAGGTAAAAAAATTGAAATTTATACAATTCAAAAAGAGGATCAAATGGTTAATATTAAATAGAACCATACACTAAATGCAGAAATCGACGACAGAAATAATTAAGAAAAGAATGCCTTCGATACCATCTGGCCAGGATCTGGTACCAGCAGGTCACTGATGCTGCGACAGATGAAGAAGGACGATACCCAGATCTTCTATGATATGTATATGCTGTACATTATTTATGTGTTGTATATATGTTTTATATGAGGGAATAACTAAATTGATTAAAAAAAACACAAAACTACAAAAAATAAATGCTCTAGATTGATACTATAAATATTTTTTTACGTTGTTTCTTGAATTTACAGACATAGTTTAGTGAAAATGCTGGACAGCACAGAGCTTGATGGTCCTCCCCCTTTAAGGAGGGCCAGCACAATAGAGACCTCCTCCCACAACAACATTCACCACGTCACTAAACTGACACGTAGGGCTTCCTTAGATGATCTTGAACAAGAAACCTGTCAATTAATACCGAAAATCGACCACAGGATCGTCGTGATTAACAGCGAAGAGGTAAATGGTAACCACAAATCGTTAGATTCGTGATGCGTTGTTCATTTTTCTATTGTTTTTATTTTTGAGTGTTTTTATTTTTTCAGACATGTTTTTTTAACTGTTTTTTTTTATTTTGTTTTTTGCTTGATTTAATTGGAAAATTTCGAATTTAAATACGCTTAATAATAATAAGAATTTTCGATTTTTTAACCACAATATACAGGGTAATCCTCTCACACTTTTGATTTACTTTTTAAAACTTTTAATAGATATTTTAGTTTTATTTTATTATTGATGTAAATTGTCTTTAGCTGCTTTTTTTTACTAATTATTATTCTGTTTTGTTGTAAAAAAAAACATTTGAACGCGAAAAACATTTGATTTTTTTTTGAAGCCACATGAACAAAAAGACAGTATATTTTTTAAGCTTTTATCGTTATTTTAGTTTTTATTACTGATGTTATTTGTCTTTAGCTACTTGTTTTTTTGCTAAAAATATTTATACTGTTTTATTTTAAAAGAATGACATTTGGATATAAAAAAAAAAATTATTTTTAAAATTACCTAAACAAAAAAGGTATTTATCTTAAATCATATGCTATAAAAAATTGACTGAAAAATAAATCCCCAAATCATATTACATTTTTTCTGTGATAGTATCACCGCACCACTGTTTTTTGTTTATTTTTCAGTATTATTTTTTACCCAGTATTAAATAATATTTAACCACTGTTTGTTATGTTGTTTGTTTGTTTTCTATTTTTGTTTTGCAAATAAAACTGGCTTTAATATATTGTTTTTGTGTTTTTATATTTTCTACCCTTCAAATAATATGTCTACAGGGTGTTTCAAAAAACGTGTGCCATCTCTCGTAGGGAAATTCCTCACGTAAAAATAAGATTTATTTTTTTTATCAACATATAGGTCCAACGCTACTTTGTTTCGTAGTTACATTAATCACAATTAATAAAATTAAAATAAAAATTAATAAATTATTTATTTAATCTATTTTATTATTAAGTTGTATTAAAATTTATAACAATGATGTGCAGTGCTACCTACAGCAAATTCAATAAAAAATAATGGTACTTAAATCTATTTTGTTTTGTTAAAAATTTAACACCCTGTAACTTTAAAACTATGCTTTTCCGCACCCTTCTTATAGGAACTGTTTTTCATATTTTTTTAATGAGGAATCAATGAGTACTTATTACTTATTTAACACTTTGGCAAGTTAATGACACTAAAAATTTAAGAATTGGATTAAAATAAATTAATAAAATTTTGTTTTTTCCATAGCAACTGTTAAAATTGCCTTATATCTATCAAAAATAGTAGATAAAATAGTACTTTAACCGCAAGGGTGATTAAATGATACTTTAACAGCGAGGATAGATTAAAAACTTTATTTCTTCTGGCACATGTTATTTGAAACACCCTGTATATTTATAGGTATTAGAAAATAACTATAGTATTTTTTTCCAAATTGCTACTACTGTATTTATGCATGTAATTATGTATTTTTTAGAAGTACCACGAGTTAGTGCTGCAACGTCAGAGGTACGAACAAGACTCTGTCATAGAAGAAGTTGATGAATGCTCACCACAAAATTAAATATTAATTTAATTCCTATTCCTGCTTAAGTTTGTATATAAAATTCCAAATTTTTCGAAGGTTATAACAGAATTATAAGATCTAACATAATATGAAACAACGTTTGCAGACTTAGGACCGGGAAATGAAAAACCCTTTATTTTGAAAAAATCGCCGACGTTTTGACGTATAATCTAGTCTTTTTCAAGGCTATTTTCAGATAAAGGGTTTTCTGTCAAACGTCTAAGCATAATTATATTATGTCCTATGAACAGTATAAATTTTAAAAAAGGAACATCAATCACTTTAATAAAAAATTATCTAATAATAGCCGTCTATCGAAGAATGAAATTTTTTTATGAAGAATGCATTTTTCACAAGAAGTTAATAATAAAGTTATGTTCCTCTTGTAAAGACAATTCAGGGACATGCTGTATACTGTGTTCGTCTCAAAAGTGGCTCACCCCTATAACTTTTTAATTTTTTTTAGATAAAAAACGAGATTTGGTATATTAGTATGTGACTTAAATTAGGGTTAATTGACATATTCAATTGTTTTTTGTCACTTCCTGTTTCACCGGAAATGACTACAACTTTTGATTTTTAAACGGCACCCTTGGTATATTTCTACTTTATGCGATAGAAAATAACACTCTGAGTAGAATGACGTATCATATGTCAACTTTTGACATTTTGGCATATTGTTATTTGAAATTGTAACATGCGGTTCATAACGGCAATTTGACTAGAAATACCAAATTATTCGTAAAAAATGTTTTCTCCGAATATGCTAATGAAAAATTATTCCATTTGAAAAAATCGAGATATGATTAAAAATACTATATGGACATCTTTTAACGGGCCAAGATAAAACACGAAAAACATTTTTTTAATACTCTGGTGAAACAGGAAGTGACCGAAAACAATTGAATATGTCAATTAATCCTAATTTATGTCCTATACTAACATACCAAATCCCTATTTTTTATCTGAAAAAAAAACGATGTACTTAAACAGCCGTCGGTAGTCTACTAAAATGCCGTTAATAGATATTGTGACGTCGTTCATGTCGGCGGAAAGTAATACCTGGCTATAAGCATTTTGCAAGAGCATCTGTGGCTCCGTGGCTAAGGCTATCGCTTCGTGAGCGAATGGTCCAGAGTCCAAATCTCACGCCGACCAACATTTTTATATATTTTTTGTTTATAGCGTGATCTTATTGCATTGGTTTCACCTTTTGGTTGGATTGGTTTAGTTATTTGGCGGGTTGGTTAGCGTGGTTATTTGGGGGTGTTAATTCATTGGTTAGTTGGTTATTTGGGTTGGTTGGCTCTTGACTAATTGAGTATTTGTTTTCTATATTTTTTATCAGTGTCGAGGTTAGTCTGCTTGGTTGCTGGTTATTTAGTGGGGTGGATAGCGTTGGTTAGTCCTTATAAAATTTTTATATTTCATAAAGCCGTCAAGTGCGTCACATCAACGACGTCATACCTATTAACGGCGTTTTAGTAAGCTACCGTTTAACGGCAGTTTAAGTACAGCCAAATAAAAAAGTTATAGGAGTGAGTCACTTTCAAGACGCACCCGGTATATATTAGTTTATCCTTAAGAGGTTTTATAATTCTGCTCTTACCTTTTTAATTTTATACAGGGTATTATTTTTTCTTACATTCAAGACTTAAGATACACATAATAAGCATCAAAAGACATATTTAATTTATTAGAAATTTTTCGTTTAAAATAGCAGTAGAGCAAAGTTGTCAGTCAATCATTGGGATACGTGATGGTGAACATTTTTATTTTTATCTTGAAAACGAGACTAATGAATGCAGAAAGCATTACTGCGAAAAACACATTTCTTCTGGTGTTTTTTCACTTTTTAAAATGAAGGTTGAAATAACTACCCCTATCATTTGTTAACGAAATTTAAAAGAAAATCTTATCAAACACATGCAAAAAATGGTTTGATAGTTTAAGTTTAGCGAGTCTTTTATCTGTATTTTTGATAAAACTCACCGATTTGAAATTAAAAATAAAATGTAAAGCATTACATGTCAGGACTAAAAATATGTTTAGATTAAGAATCTAAGATGTTTAAGATAATAATAATAATAATCTAGATAATAACGTATTGCAGTAGGGTAATGTCAAATAAAACAATATTAGAAACATCCTAAAAAGTGACACTGGCTGACTAGATTTTTTCCTAAAAATTACAGCTGCACACTAGATTCTTTTATCTATTAAAATGTTTTTGTCCTGACATGTACTGCTTTACATTTTATTTTTTAATTTCAAACGGAGTTTTATCAAAAACACAAGAGATAAAAAAGTTTCTAAATAAACTAAACTATCAAAATTAATTTTTTTTGCATGTGTTTGATAAGATTTTTCTTTAAATTTCATTAACAAAAATGATAGGGGTAGTTTATTTCAACCCCTTCCACTCATTTTAAAAAAGTGAAAAAATTACCAGAAAGTGTGTTTTCATAACAGTAATGCTTCCGTAAAATTTCATTAGTCTATGTCTTTTCGTTTTCAAGATAAAAAATAAAAACATTATTTTTCCGCCATCTTTGTACCGCGATATCTCCCTAATGGTTGACTTTTGACCCAACGTTTATAAAGCAAACGACCCTTTATTTTGAACAAGGAATCACCCCCTGAAGTTTTTCGCATTTGTTTTGAAACACCCTGTATACCTACCTACGAAATTAAAAAAAAAGTAAAGTAATAATTATATTATATTGTAACGGATTTTAGTGTAAGGAAATAATTTATAAATTTGGACTTTCTTTTATCATACTATTAAGTAACTGTATTATTTTATATTAGCTGAATAATATAAAAAAGTAAAAATACCCTGTATCTAGTATTTGATACCATACAATCAAAAAAAAATTAAAAGTAAAAGTTACAGGTGATATAGATAGATACTGGTGTTCAAGATTTGTGGCTCACCCCCTATAACTTTTTTATTTTTTCAGTTAAAAAAACAAGTTTTGTATGTTAGTATATGACATAAATTAGGATTGATTTACTACAATTTTTAATATTTAAATGGTACCCTCGGTATTTTTTTACTTCATTCGATAGAAAATGACATTCTGAATAAAGTGACATATCAAATGTCAACTTTTGACATTTTCGCATACGGTTTATTTGAAATTATAATAATATAATTATATATATTTGAAAGTGTGTGGTATCAAATTATTCGTAAAAAATGCTTTTTTCAAATATGCTAATGAGCCACCTTCGTTCCATTTGAAAAAATTGAGATATGATCAAAAATACGATTTGGGCATTTTTTAATCGGCCAGGACAAGACTCTAAAAACATTAGACGATCAAATCTATTTTTCCAAGGGTCCTTGATTAAGAATTAGTGTTTTTAACATGCTACTCTAGATTGAAATTTAAAATACGATTTTTTATTAAGCGAGAATGTCAAAAGTTGACATATGGTATGTCATTCTATTCAGAATATCATTTTCTATCTAATAAAGAAAAAAAATACCGAGGGTGCTATTTAAAAATCAAAAGTTGTAGTCATTTCCGGTGAAACAGGAAGTGACCGAAAACAATTGAATACGTCAATCAATCCCAATTTTTGTCAGGTACTAACATACCAAATCTCGTTTTTTTATCCGAAAAAATAAAAAAATTATGGGGGTGAGACGCACCCGGTAGTACCACAGTACTACGCCTGCACTAACTACTATTAACGTTTGCTATTGCAGTGGACGGTCTACATTGTGAGATTCACTCATAGTTCCTCCAAAGCTTTCTAGATTATAAGTCTTTTTTTGATCGTCTGGTATATTTAAATTCCTTGTGAGAATAAACTTTTTCTTGTGATAGTATCGCTAAGAATAATAATATACCTCTTACCTTTGTAGAACAAAATCTTTGCCTTGTAAAAGAACACCACATGTTACATGGTATAGTCCGTCTAGCGAGAGAATGACACTGACAGGTATCGTGCGTCATTTTAGTTCAAAAGTAAACGTTTTTTTCTGTAATCTTTTGGATGTCGTCTCTCCAAATCGTCTGTTCTCTTGCTGGACGAACTTTACATTCCACAACGAAATGATGAAATGTACAAAAAAACTCTACAAAAACGTTATATTTCTTTTTGATAGCGTATCGAACACACAAACAACACAAATTAAGCAGAAGAGCAATTCGTTACTGTGCTTTATTGGTGATTAAATTTGTCTAAGTATTGGGTATGATCGATTTAAATTTGATTCAAGTTGGTTTAAGCATTGATGCATTCTCCGCCGGTGCTGCCACCATCGGAGAATATCGTAAACAACCGTCATATACAAATACATGGGTTTAACTAGCGAGTATACGAAAAAAAGGTTATATAATTATTCTAAACATGTTATGAAGTATGTATAATTTGTGGACATTCGAAAAAAAAATAAAAAAGGAAATATTTTGATATCTCCAGAAGGTCTAACTTGTATTATAATGTATTATTCAAGCTAAAAAAACTTTTTAGATGAGTTCAACTACGGTAGCGAGCATAGTTTTACGACCTTTTTTGCTAGTGGGTTCAAATAAGGAAATTTTTTAAAGGTATATAATTATAATTTTGGAAGATGTTCATAAAAGAATTAAGCACTATAGTTGATTAAAAAAAGTATACCGATAATATTGCTCATTATATTTTATCCTCTCATAGTATATGCCTATTTATTTTTTTGATTATGTAATGTGCACTTTGTTTACTCACTTGTTTCGTCGAACTGCTTGAATCCATTTTTGCTTTTGATCAAATCGGTGTGAGAAACTATGAAGCTGTAAAATGTTGTTTCGGGAGAGTTGAATATCCGGAAAAGTTGAGTTATTGAACGTTATTGCACCCCACAACGCCCTTATTACTCTCTCCTTCATGCGTTAACATTTTTTCGGCAGTTTTATTAACATTTGAAATTGTCATAACACAACGCGACGCCCTTGCGCGACACCTAGTTCGAATTCTTTTTCACTTATTTTTACTACCCGAAACAGCGTTACATCGCACAAACTTCGTTCCTGAGAATTTCATAGTTTCAATAACTGCACTAGTAAAAACTAAAACACTTATATGACAAAGCCACGATTAATATTATTTCAATGCGATGAAAATGGACGGTACGCTGTCATTTTATATGTAAAATTAAGTATATGGAGAATGTCATCGATGTTCATTTCCAAGCCAACTGGAATGGATGCCGTTTTCTTCGATCATACGTTACATTTATTAAATAAATTGTTTTTATTTTCTAAACCAACCTGATTCAAGATCCTTTTTATGTTTTGCTGTTGAAGTAAACTTTTATACTATATACAAATACATAAAAAATTGCAATTGCTCATATTATATCGTATTAAAATAATTTTCACGAAAATTCATAAGGAACACAGTATACATACACAAAAACACACGTAATTTTTACAGCACGTCTTTTGTTTCACGTTACATCGTTTAATTTCTGATCAATGTTGCGCTTTCTTTACA